AAAGAGAAAATCCATTTTATTTCATTCCAAGATGAAAGCAAGTTTATTGTAATTACTGAGCAGCTTTGAAAAGAATACAGGAATTCTTAAGGCTCTGTTAAATATAGAACAAGGTCTTACATAATAAATACAAAAACATTAACATTCTTTTGAATTTAAATAAAGTACTGCTTCTCCCTCCCATTTCAATGAGTTCATTAGGCAAAAAAAGCTTTGACCAGTTCTGATTTCTCTCTTTTTCTCTCCCTTTGATTTTGTAGTGTTTTAAAATTCAAGATGTGTAGCTCCAGCAATAAACTAATCATCTGTAAAAGATGGATGGATGTTTGTAGCTTTCCTAAATCGATCATATAGATGGCTTTTCTAAACAATTAGAAGGAAGTGAATAAAAATATTTCACTTCTGTCATGCTGGGCAGAAGTGAGGCAGGAGAGTAGGAAGCTAGAAAAATTCCTTGACAAGTAGGATGGGGAAACTGAGACAGAAAGCTGGTTCAGACTGGCCTCCTCCAGCACCCTGACTCACCCGCCTCCTCCCATGAATGACACTCCCTTAAGCATTAAGCCCTCAAGACGATTAGGTTATGATCAGCTTCACCGGCATCATAACTAATTACAAGATCCCAGAACTAGGGTGAGCGCTTTATTTCAGTCCTAAGGAACAGAGGCTGCTTCTACTTCAACTTTAACTACACCTGGAAGCGTTGAGAACTTGCAGGCAGGATTCTTGAGTAGATGGAGGTTCCAGAAATGATGAAACTAAGGCAGCCTTTGTCATCCAATCTAAGTATTTATTTCAACATCTGTGCCAAAGGCTCTTGGTCAAGGTGGGTTTTGGCCATAATCCAGGTGTCACCTATGTTACATCATTCATTCATTTAGAAATTAAAGTTTAAAACTGTAAAAAGGACTGTGAAAGTGTAGTGAATGTAAGCAGCTGCACGGTTTCACGGCCATATTCTTCTATAGCCATCTCACTTTTCAGGAGGCAGAGAGAACTCCCCACGCCGCAAGTTCAAACTCGCATTTGCCCACTACCCCTGGCTCTTCACCACCCGCCTGAGATGCAGAGTTTGGAAGCGTCACTCTCTTTGGCTGAGACAGAAAAGACTCTGTCCCTCCTATATTTTTCTTTGCTTTATGCATAGCTTTCACGCCTTTTTGGCCCTTGACAGCAGTCACTGAACTGCCCTTGCCTTTGGCTGTTTTTTCCAGTTTTCCTTGGCCTCTGCGCCATATCTAATGATAGCGACTAGACCTTTCCACAGGAGTTCCTTAGTTCGCAAAATTATTGGAATAGATGCAGGCCTAACTTAAAAAAAGGAGGGAGGGAAGGGAACGATGAAAGAACTCAATGCATCAAAATAAAACTTCTCTTTTCTATTTGCCTCTAGCACAGAGTGAAGGTGATCGTATCTCTTCATTCACGTAACATTGTCATTGGTCCAACCCAGGTCCCTCTCTGTTACTAGTTATTTTATCCCTTCTCCTGCCCTTTGATCACCACGGGCAACCATCCTAATGTATGTTTACATGTTTTCTTCTTAAATGTCTATGTTTGCTGTGCAAGTGTTTTGATTCTGCAAGTGGTATTCCATCTATCTATCTATCTGTCTATCTCCCGCATCCCCCCTTCCTCCCAGCACCGTGGCTCCAAGGCGCCGCGCCCCGCGTGCCTTCAGCGCCTTGCCCGGCCGCGGCCAGCTGCCGGGTGGGCGCCTCCCCTGCCTCCCCTTGCCCGCGCTCGGCAGCGGGCACCCAGGCTGCCCACGGAAGCCCGTTCACACGGCTACGAACAGTCACGGGGCGGGAGCAAACGAGGCTAAATACCGGAGACTGACCCTTGAATGCTTGGGAACTGCTGACAGTTGAAGATGCTTCAGAAATAAAGACGTGACATCTCTAAAATAAAAACACAAGTCAGCGAAAAAAACAGCTTCGGATTTACAAAAGCGCCCCCCACCTGGCTTCCCGAGAGCAGGCCTGACAAGCTGGGCGCTCCGGCCTGGCCCGGGCCTCTCCGCAGCTCTGGCCCCGGCCCGTCTCGCCCCAGCCACACCCGCGAGGCTCCCTGCTGTTGGCTCGGGTGTCCCTTCTGTGGCGGGAACCCAACCCCTCTGCCTTCCTGCTCTGTGGCATCTGCGTCCACTTCAAAATTTCATCTTGCACCGGGGCCCTTCCAGCCCGGGGGGCGGCCAGCGCACGACCCAGCGCCTCTCCCTTCCGTCCGACCGGTGCCCCTCGTCCCGCACCCCCGCATCAATCGACAGCTCAAACCTCCCTGGCCAGCCTGCGCCACACTGTCCCCGAGAGCCAGCCGGTGCCCTGCGGAGAGGAGCCGGGGAGGCTCGGCCGAGGGCCATTTGCATATAAATGGCTCTGAAGGGCTCGGTGGAAGCTTTTATGGAAACACTCTCCCAAATATGTTCTGCGCTGCATTATCCCCGCAATAAAGATTCTGGAATCAGAATTTGGCTGTCAGTTTTATTGATGTTGCGTGGGGTACAGTAGAATACAGCTTTCTCTTCTGGAAATTTATTGACTTGGCAGTGCAGAGAGCAATAAAACTGTGTTTTTAATCAGTAAGCCAAGCGGACATGATTCCAGAAGAAATATAGGAAGCAAACATGCCATCGTAGGAAGATTTCTTCCCCACTGTCCCTGTTCTTCTTGGACGCCCTGTTAAATAAGTTTGGGTGCTGAGCGATGCGCTTGGGGGACTGTCTTCAGGAGCAGAGTCAGAGGACCAAGTCTGGATGACTCCCTCAGGGTTGCACCACCTCTGAGAGGCTGCTGAGTGAAAGCGCTTTTCTGAAATGAAATGCCTTCGCGTCAGCCCCTGGAGAGGAACCGCTGGTAAGGTGCTTTGCAGAAGGAATATCGAGAGTGTGGCATGCCTCCCCTCAAGAGAAGCAAGGTTACAGGGCCTGCCCCTGCACCATGCTCACCGAGCAGAGGGTTACCTGGGTGTACCTCCAAAGGAGATGAAATCACCACCTCCAAGCGGTGTCTGCACTCCCGCGCTCACTGCAGCGTTATTCATAACGGCCAAGATAAGGACACACCCTAAGTGTCCTTTGACAAATGAATAGGTAGAAAATGTGTGGTGTGTGTATATATATATATATGCAATGGAATAATTTCAGCCATAAAAAAAGAAGGAACTCCGCCATTTCTGACAGTATGAAATGACCCCGGGGGGCATCATGCTAAGTGAAATAAGCCGGACAGAGAAAAACAAATATTGTATGTTATCACCTATATGTGGACTCTTAAAAATATATATTTAAAGCTGATTTCATAGAAACAGAGAACAGAATGGTTGCCAGGGCCTGGGAAGAAAGAAAATGGAGAGATAGGTCAAAGGGTACAAACTATCAGTTATAAGAGGAATAAGTCCTGAGGATCTAATGTGCAGCATGGTGACTACAGTTAATATACAGGACTGTACACTAGAAAGTTGCTGTGAGTGGACCTTAAGTGTTCTCACCACACACAAAAAGAGTTAACTATGGGAGGCTATGTACATGTTAATGATCTTTATCTTGGTAATCACTCCACACTGTATATCAAATCATCACCTCGTACACCTTAAATACACACGAATATGTTTGTCAATCATCCCTTGATAAAGTTGGGGAGGAAAGAAACAAAGAGAAAGTGGATTAGGGGTCATGTGCTTTGGCCCGGTATTGCCAGTGGGAAGAACATTTGGACTCAGTCTATTTGGTCATGTCACCGTGTTCAAATTACTTAATCTCTTTGAGATCCAGTTTCTTCTGCTCTCCAAGGGGAATACTCACCTCGCTCCACTACTGAGTGGATTTAACAAGGTTATGGGTGGGTGGGTGTCACTCACACGGCACCTTGCACTGGCAGCAAGTCCCTGGAACGCTGAGCCATCTCACGGGTTCAATCTGCTCGTCATGGAGGTGTTCTTTCCTGCCAGCTAAGGCAGCCTCTGCTGCAGAGACGCATGAAAAGCAGCGTCTCCCACCTCTGTTCTCATATTCATGATATCCGTGTCCCACCTGAAATGTGCTGCTCCTCTCCCCTTCTCTCCGCCAGTCCTCGGGCTAAACCCTTGAATCATCGTAGATGCTTGATACATGTTGGTTGAAAATTCATCTCTGCCCGCAGGTGCTTTCTTCTGAGTTATCTTAACTCCAGTTTCCTTTATCACTTGTATATCATCCTGTTCCAGTTTTTGCTGTTGCTGAGTAATCGCTCTATTCTCTACTCTTATGTAATGCATAATTTTTATCTCAATTCAAGAACACTCAGATTGTTCTTCTGCTTGTGAGTGCCTGAAGGAAATGCTCCATAGATGTTCCCCCGAAATGGCATGAGATGTCCGTGTGATTTAACCGTATTAGCAAGTGCTCTTGGGATAATATTGAAATAGGCTGCCTGGAGAAGTTGGAGCATGTTCTTAATGAACCTTCCCTTCTCCTGTCTGCCTGATTTTCAATTGCATTTTCCCCATTCATTTCTCTGTTCTACTCAAAAAAGCTTGTTTTCCTCTCAACCAAGCCTATAGGGCCACTCTAGAACTATGTATTAACTATTTACTTGGTGCCAAGCCCTATCCTTTACATGGGTTACCTTGATTAATCATCACAACAACACTGTGAATTTGGAGTTATTATTTCAATTTTATATATGAAGACACTAAGAGAGGGGGCTTAAATAACAATGCTCAGGGTCACATAGCAAGGTAGCGAGAGAGTGGGGATTTGAACTTGGGTGTGTCTGATCCCAAAGTTGAGGATCTAAACCAAAAAATTACACACTGTTTGATACAGACCAAGAATAAGTCGTAACACATCTCTTTATAGGTATAAGTTAAAATTCTCAACCTAGATTCAGTTGTTGAGAAGTCCATAGTCACACACACACACACACACACACACACACACACACACACATTTTATTGATGAACTTAAAAAGGCACCCAATCTTAAATTTTAAACTCTTGGCCTTCCTTTTTTTCTTTTCTAGATCACTCACCTATCTCCCTATCAAAGTAATTCCATCTCAAGCTTTCAGAGGACTTAATGAGGTCGTAAAAATGTAAGTAAGATACTGCATATCAAAAGACATTCATAATTGGAATAATACATTTTTTCTAAGAGAAAGCATAGTTGAAAGGGGATAATGTTTCTAGAAGAGAAACTGTATTTGGGAAACCCTAGTACTTTTATCTTTTTAATACAAATAATATCTAGGGACCTTTGAAGAAGGGTATGATTTTCAAGAGTCATTAAAATCTAGATAATTAACCTTGCTTTAATGAAGTGAATGCATTTTGATAAGTGATGATAAACTTCTCAAGTAGAAATGATAGATTCCAAGCATAAAAATTCTCCTGCTATAGCACTTATTCCCTCCATCACATTTTAAAATATATATATATTTTATTGATTTCAGAGAGAGGAAGGGAGAGGGAAAGAGAGAGAAACATCAATGATGAGAGAGTCATTGATCGGCTGCCTCCAGCACGCAACCTGGGCATGTGCCCTGACCAGGAATCAAACCGCAGTCTCTTAGGTCCTAGGTTGATGCTCAACTGCTTAGCCACACCCTGCTGGGCCCCCTGTCACATTTTAAGGTAACACCCATATGGAAGAAAACGTTTTGGAAGTTTATTGTGCATGAGAATATAATGTTTGTATCTAAAACATAATAAGCAATGACAAAAACACAAAATTTATAGTCTTATCAAAGTGTAGAGCGGCCTTATAAGGCAGTGTCATCTCACATTCATGTCAGATGTAGCTTCAATCCTTTGCCCTGGGTCTCAGCTTCTATGGTCCAGGACTGCATCCATGGAGAGAGACCTTTCTCAGTACTCCAGGATTCCAGCATCCTCCTTAATGTTAGCCCAAATCAAAGGATCGAATGGGCCTTTAGCTCCAGAGGACATCTCTGATCTTAACAATCCATTGGGCTTTCAAAGCTATTCCAGCTCCCTGAGGAACCTCTGACTGCTCTTTGGGATATTAGCAAGCAATGGCCATAGTAAAAGTAACTACTGAAGAATTAGTGCATATTATGAGAAATTCACTGCAGGTTGCAGAAATGTCAGTTTGCTTGAACCTAACTCTTACTCTTCTGCTCTCAAGTTATAAATGTTGAGTTTTGAGAACTTTTAATGCATTGAGACATCCTGGTGAGAAAATCAGCCACAGTTAACTAAATAAACTATTAAGTAGGAATAAGATGAATCAGCCCAGGAATGATCCATTATTGCATTGTTCATAAAATACATTAACTGCCTTAGGCTCAGCCTTTCTGTGGCCTAAAGCTCTCATGAAGTTTGAAGTCTTCAGTGAATGTTAACCTTAAAAAACACACAAATGTACAATTTGTGAATTTGAGACTTTTTTCTTAGCTGGCAGCAAATAGTAACTTAGGTTGAGATTTTAGAATAACAGTGACAGTACCTATATGTTTGGGGGTGGTATATGGCAAAACTGTTTACTTTTGTGTCTTTTTTAAACAAAAATCATTTCATTCATTAATCCATCCATTCATTCATTCCCAATGTGCCAGGCATAATGAGTCACCAGGGTTCACAAAGTGAGAAAAAGAGTCAAAGACATAGACAGTCACAACCCAAGAAAGACACTATGTGCAGGAGTTGACTGCCTTGCATTTGCCTCAGCACGGGATTTGGGGAAAAGGGAAAGAGTTATGAAACAATGAATCCAACCCAATTAAAACCTCACTAGAATGATGGAGTTGGGAACCCAGATAGCTTGGTCCTGGTCCTGAAACCTTCCTATTATCACTAGGTAGCTCTGGGGTAGCCACTATGGAAAACAATAAAGAGGGTCCTCAAAAAATTTAAAATGGGACTGCCATATGACCCAGTGATTCCACTTTTGGGTATATATCCAAAGAAACCCAAAACACCAATTAGGAAGAATATATGCACCCCTATGTTCATTGCAGCATTATCTACAATGGCCAAGATATGGAAGCAATCCAAGTGCCCACCAATAGATAAGTGGATAAAAAAAAAAAAAAAAAAGCTGTGGTACATTTACATGATGGAATATTACTCAGCCATGAAAAAGAACAAAATCTTACCATTTGCAACAGCATGGATGGACCTGGGCGGTATTATGCTAAGTAAAATGAGCCAGTCAGAGAAAGATAAATACCACATGATTTTACTTAAATGTGGAATTTAAAGAACAAAATAAATGAACGAACAACGCTGAAACAGACTCATAGATACAGAAAACACACTGATAGTTGCCAGAGAAGAGGGAGTTGGGGGACTGGGTGGAAAAAGTGAAGGGATTAAGAAACTCAAATTGGTAGTTACGAAATAGTCATGGGAATATAAAGTACAGCATAGGGAATATAATCGATAATATTGTAATAACTGTATGGTGCCAGGTCAGGGTGAACACTTCGTAAAGTGTATGATTGCCTCACCACTATGCTGTACGCCTAAAACTAATACAAAATAATATCGAATGTAAACTAATTGAAAAAAATTTTTAAAGGAATGATATGGACATAAATAAAAGGTAGATGGGGGGAAAAAACACTAGGTGCCTCTCCTCTTAGAAACTCAGTTTTCGGAACTGTAAAACAGGGAATCTGACTAGATTTTCTCAAAGGGCCTGTCCAGTTCTAATAATCTATGAAACCATCTCATAATAAATAAGAAGAAAAAAACAAACACCCTGTTGTAATAAACAGGGGTTACCGAAAGTTGCATTGCAACAGCTCCTGGGTTGTAGGTGTCCGTCGGTGCTCCTTAAGGGAGATGCTAGCACTTCATGATGTGAGGACAGCTTAATGCGTCCCTGTTCTTTCTTGAAGGGACATCCTACTTGTTAGGCCACATGCACAGCTACTTACGATGCAAACATAGTCATTTATTTCATGTTTCTTCTTTGTTTTCCTCTCTCCTCTAGTGAAATTTCTCAGAGCGATTCCCTGGAAAAGATAGAAGCTAATGCCTTTGACAACCTCCTCAATTTGTCTGAAATGTAAGCATCAGCTAACAGACCGTTTACGGCTGTACACTATGACTCTCACTGGCTGGAGCCCACTCAGTTTTTGCATCAAGCATTCACTGCTAGAAAGCCAAGAGGAAAAGACTACGGCAATTACTAGGTCTGGGCAGTCACTAATTTCTCTCCCCGCAGAGGCCTGAAGGTTGCCATGGTGACAACTGCATCTCCCTGAGAGCTGTGTAAACTCTGAAACATCACAACACAAAGTCAGGAATTTAAATTGGCCTTGTGGAGTCCTGCCAAGTAGCTCTTACCTTGTGGAAGGAAAGGCGTGGAGTACTTGGGGTGGTAGGAAAATTTGGAAAGGAGCTTAGAGATCATGAATTAGTTCATTGGGAACTGCGAGGGCACATTCATTCATTCAGTAAATGGTTCTTGAGTACCCACCTGGTAAAAGCCCTGTGTTGCGCATGTGTATGTTGGGTTTGTTGTTATTGTGATGTCTTAAAATTGGTTTTTAAAAATTACCCTTTCCAAATTATCATTTTCCTCCAGTTTACAAAAAGGGTGGGAGAAGGCTGGCTAATTTCAGTTTTCAGGTGATGAACTTGCGTCCTAAAGAGGTTAAATGACTTGCCTGATGTCACACAGCAAGTTAGCTGGGACCATAAATCAGGTCGCGTGACTCTGGGTCACGTGACTCTTACTGCTGCCTTATTTGGGCCAAACCTGGGCTACTACAAACTTCACCTGCATAGGAGTTTCAAAGCTTAAGGGAAGAGGAAAGGTGTTAGCAACAGTTTTTAAGCACTTGTGCTTGGCATTTATATCCTCTAGGTGGTGTCATCTAATCCTCACAGCCACCCCGTAAGGTGGAGTAATTATCCCTTTTGTTCAAGGGGAGAACAGAGGCCCAGAGAGGTCAGTCACTTGACCAACGCAGCGCCTCAGACAATGGCGGGGATGGGATTCAACCCCAGCCTGTCTTTCTTCAAGGCGTGTGCACTTTCCACTGTACCAGAAGGCCTCCCCATGAATGGTCCAACTAGCAATTATCTAAAGAGAGTAATTTATTGATAAGTGTGAGAGTACCTGCCACATGTGCAACCAAGGGCCAAATGCTGCTGGAGTACAGAGGAGGAAAAAATATGAATCTCCCCCAGGAGATGACCGTGTGGCCAGGCGAGGGAGAATAACTCACCAAACAATTATGGGAAATCTGAAACAGTGGGTGTTAAGCACTGAAGGTATAGTCTGGACTTGTCTGCGAGAGAATTTCCTGGGGGAGGGAGGAGCTAATTACAATTATAGATGACAGTTCTACCTAGAAATCTGCAGTTTTAACAGACTTCCCGAGTGATGCTGAGTCAGCACAGCTTCCATTGAGAACCACAAGAGCAGCTTCCAATAAAGTTTCTCATGATGCAAAGCAACGTTTATCAACAGAAAGAAAAATGAAGTGCTCTAGGGAAAGTTTATGGACCTTTCCCAAGGAAGGTCCTGAGGTTAGGATGTCAGCTCTGCACAGGTTCTATTTGCTTTGTTCACAGCTGTATCCCCAGCACCTAAACAGAGCCTGGCACATGTAGGAGCTCAATCAATGTCTGATGAATGAATGAATGAATGAATGAATGAATGAATGAATGAATGAATGAATGCATGAATGAATGAGTGGTCTAAGGTCAAAGCCCAAAAGAGATAAGAGTCCCTTAAAGAGATAAAGGTCCCTTCCGTCTCACCCACATAATGCCTTATATGGCACGACTGATTCAGTTGTAAAAATAATTACAACAAAGTGTCCCTCACCTTTAAATAATCAAAAGGACATAAAAGATGGAGCTAGGCACCCAGAGGTGGGTAAATATGGTAAGGTGGAATGAGCACTAGACCTGGAGTCAGAAAAAACTGACTCAGAAAAATCATTCAATTTCCTGATTTCATCAACTATGACAATAATTGTTAACATTGGTTGAAGCCTTACTGTGAACCAAACATACACATTTATTCCTTTAAAACTGCCCTATGAGGAAACTGAGTTGTAAGTGGTATATCCAAGGCCTACAATTAGTAAAACCAGGATGTAAAACCAAGCTGACTGCAGAGTCCGTCCACCTAACCAATACACTATATTTTCTCTGTACAAGAGTAATTATTGTTTCCTCAGGTGGTTGTTGAATGGGTTAAGAAAGCCAAAGGCATTTACTGGCCTTTTATTAAATCCAAAGGAGACAGGACCCAGCAACTGAGGCCTCTTCTCAAATAATCAAAATCACTGGTGGAACTAGGGACAAGAGCAATAACACCACTGTGATGTTATGGCTGTACTTTTTACACTCTGCAAAGCCTGCCTTGTACATTGTCCCTACATATTCTATTACTACCCCTCAACCTGTGAAGTAGGACAATTGCATATTTTTATGTCAATATTACAGAAGGGAACACCAGCTCAGGGAAGTTAGGAGACTTGGCATCATCACACAACAAATTATCTACAGAATAAGCATAAAGTCCCCAAAATCCAAGCCTCTGGACTCTGTGCTGCTGTTCCATAGACTGAGTGACCATCTGGATAATTGGTCAGTGTGGCCAGCAGCCCAGTATGAAGAGAACCAGTTTACCTACAAGGGAGAGCAGCTAATTTGCTCGTCTCTCCTGGGAGCAGAATCTCCCATCTCCCCCAGCGTTTAGGCTCCCGGGTGGGCAGGACCTGCTTGGCCAGGAGTCCTGGCCATTGATGCTGCCTGGGGGACAGAGGGTGGAGGGAGGTGGAACAGGGGTGGAGGTGGAACAGCCTCCCGGCTAGGAGGCACCTGCTTGGCAGGAGGCTGAGAGCAGAGCTTCCTGGAAGTAGCCACTGGCTCGCCATGCTGTTTCCATCCCCAGAGTCTCAGGAGCTCCTCTCAAGCACTTGATTTTGTCGGTGCTGCTTTCAGCCAGCATCCTCTGATGAGCACGGTCTCCAGCATTCCAAACACATCTAGTAAACTGCCGCCTGTTTTCCTGCCTCTCTTTACAGACTGATCCAGAACACCAAAAACCTGGTACATATCGAGCCTGCAGCATTTACGAATCTTCCCCGGTTAAAATACCTGTGAGGAATTTTCCTTTTTAAGCAACTGGGGAGGGGAAGATGGGCATCTGATAAAAAGCAAAACAATTCCAAGGTTGGGAAGAATTTTTTTAACCATATACTTAAAATGATTTGCATGTCTGCCTTCAGCCTTCTGATTTAATCAGCATTTCTTGTCAGCCACTGTGCTGGGCACTTTCAAATACCTATAAGTGCTTCTCAACATTGTCTTCTGTCCCAAACACCAGAGAAGACCATCACCTCTTTGCAGTGATTTTCAAAGCTGGTGGTAGGAATGGGAGGGCTCATGATGCTTTAAAAAGGGTAAATCAGAATCTCTAAGGTGAGGTGGTGGTGTGGACAGAGCAACTTCTCCCATCATGTTAGTGGCTTTTAAATTCTCACAGTCAACAGCTGAAAGAGTGACTGGTAAAGCCAAACTCAATATTTTTAAATTTAATGTGAAAATAGTATTTGCAAAATGCCTTTCTACTGTTTTTATCTTTATGCCTTAATAACAATTCCTTTCACTCACTCCCTGCCCACATCCCCACTTTGCCCCAAATCACAGGAGCATCTGCAACACTGGCATTCAAAAGCTTCCAGATGTTACAAAGATCTTCTCCTCTGAATTTAATTTCATTCTGTAAGTACCAGGCTGATTGCTATGCATAACAGTTTCCTATTTGCAGCTAAAATTTGGAAAGTAAATATTTCTCATTTCACTCCTCAAGGGAAATTTGTGATAACTTACACATAACCACCATACCGGGGAACGCTTTCCAAGGGATGAGTAACGAGTCCGTAACGCTGTGAGTAACTGCCAGGTTCACGTTCTGCCCTACAGCCTCCTGCTCTTCGCAGTCTAGCTTTAGGCGACCTCCTCTCGTCTTTTACCACATCCCTCACTCACTGGTGACATTCTTTTTGACCTAAAATGCCAAAGGTGAGAGGAGTTGTGTGGGATCAAAGCTGGGTCATATGTTCGTTCACATGACAACCAACCAAGCTACTCAGTTTAAAATTAATCAGATGGGCCCTGAGGATTTACAGTGACCAAATTTCCAGCTGATAAAATTGCTCACTGGATCAGTGGAACGCTTTGCAGCTGCAAAGAGACAGCCTGGAGTGGAGTGGCTGCCCTGGTTAAAAGAGAGCACAGAAATTTCAAGTTTCATCTGAGAAGAGCTTGGAAGGATATTCTCCAAGTAGGAAGAGTAGTTGATCAATAGACCCTGAACGCTCTCTGTCTCTCTCTCCTTCTCTCTCTGATTTTTCACTCTCCCCTGGGGTAACTTTGTTTCTGAAGCAACGACATCTATGCCCATTCCCTAAATCCCTTAACACTAAATTTGAAAATAATGTCCTCTTATTTGATCATCATGAATAGCCAAGACTCCCTTTGATTTTGACCTAAATCTAAAAATAATCAGGAACCAGTAGGGACTCCTCTCAGGTAAATGTACAGTGATGGGAGTGGAGTGGAATGGGAATGAAAGGGCAGGAGACCTGGAGGCAGATCAGCAGGAGAGTAACAATCCATGGGGTTCCCCAAGCTCAGAAGGCTGGGCCCCCCCCACCAAAGTCACAGAACAGCCAGAGATTCCTTTACACATCATATTTCAGCATGTGTACACAGAGCTACGTGGTGTTTTATCTGGGGACTGTTAATTTACATTAGTATTAATATACATTAGCCTGCCAGCAGGGCGAAATCGCCCCACCTCTGAAGTTGATGAGGATTGTGGGCCCACCGCTCCCAGAGGGCCGCAGGGCGCTGTGCTCCACCCTCACTCTCAACCCGCGTCTACACCGGGAGAGATCAGTCATTTGCTTGGTACCCATTCTCAGTTCAATGGGCCCTTCCAGAAGCGGGGGATCATGTGGAGCACCCCCCAGGGAAAGGGGTACTACACTTAAAGAGGAAAGCCCAATTTTCTCAGCTACGGAGTTCAGCTCCCTAATTAGAAAATAACGAAAGCCAGCCTTCTCTCCTCGTGAGTAGTAGTTTTTGAGCTTCTGCTTTTCGTGGAACCTTTCTTGCCCTCCCCCACACCCACCCAAATCTGTACCAACTGGGAGTTCATTTAATGAAAACAAAACACTTGATGCTGGAGAAGCTCAGTGGGGCTAAAGCTAAAGCTATGCATTATACTCATGTCCCTTTATAGCCATTTGGCATTTCATTAAATCTCTTCAAAAGAGCACCTTGAAATGTCCCCCCTAGGTAATCAGGATTTGGCTCTACCACTTTTAAAATAGTCTAGATCACTGGTCATACCAGTCTCAAAAGGTGACAACCTTGATTCACGTCTGAACTCCACAAAAAGAAGGAAACTAATTCTCTAAGACCCTTCAGAGAAGAGATGCCTGGCAAAGAATGACAAGACTTCAGGTTGCACCTGTGGCAAGCCTCAGTCGAGAGAGTGCTTGGCACTGAAATAGGAAGCTTGGGTTCTAGTGCTGCTTCTGCACGTAACCAGCCTTAGTCAAGTCACACCACCTCCGCATACCTCGCTCTGTCTCTGTCTTTCCAATGGGATTTTTAAAAATATGTTCTTATTAATTTCAGAGAGGAAGGGAGAGGGAGGGAGAGATAGAAACATCAATGATGAAAGTCATTGATCGGCTGCCTCCTGCACGCCCCCTACTGGGGATCGAGACCAAAACCCAGGCATGTGCCCTGACCAGGAATTGAACCTGACCTCCTGGTTCATAGGTCGATGCTCAATCCCTGAGCCACGCCAGCTGGGCTCCAGTGGGACTATACATACCTCCTTCTATAAAGTCAGTCACATTGTATCGTCTACACTGCACCCTCACAATTAAAAGCTAACATTCAGCAAACCAGTTCTTTTAGACCACCCTAAAAACACTGTCCCATCATCTCATTTTAAATATTTTTACTTTGAAAAATTTAACTGATAATTGGAGTCACTCTCCATGTCTCCCCACTGACAACCGGAAAGGACAGTACTATGAACTCCTTATATATCTTACCTAGATGCACCTACGGAGTTCAGCTCCCTAATTAGAAAATAAGCTTAAGCTTAAGCTTCCTTCTTTGAAATCGTCTGAAACTAGGTGAGTACATGATCCGAAAGGGAACTGTGGCAGAACATTAATGTAACCCCAGAAATGCTTTTAGAGCCCCGGGAATATTTGGAGTTTGTTATAAGACAGCATTCAGAATTGAAGTGTCATCTGTGGTTAAGTTTTAAAGTCTGAATCTTATTTTGAATAAAAAGGTAGCATTCTCTCTGTTCGAATCACAATTACTGACATTTGAATAGAGAAGCTAGACAATGCTTTAAAGTAAGGTGCAACTATTATAATAGAGGAGAGGAGGAGGAGAATTCATTCCGGAGCCTGGGACAGCATCCGCAAGGCAAAGGAAGCCCTTCTCATTTAATTCGGACACCAGGATGTTTTGGGAAAAAGTGATCTGAAGTGACTCTCCAGATGTTTTAAAGGGCACAGAGCATTGTGCAGGCCTGACTACATGAGGTCTCCCACTCGCATCTGTGATTTCTCCAGAGTAAGAAAGCCAGCCCTTTCATCAAAACAATGCAGTGCACGCTACTGTGTGAGTCTGGCAAGAACAGAAACGGAGGGCAGCAGCTCAAGAGGAAACAATGAGCCGTGTTCTTTGCAAAATTGGCACAAGCAGGACCCAGACTCTAAAAAAAAAAGACATGAAAAATGTCCAAATGCAAAAATGTCAGTGATGCCCACACAGACCAAAGGTGGTTGAGGGCTTTCAGAGGGCGAGCACATCGGGGGCAGCCCAGGCCACTGAACGGACCTGCTCCGCCCAGGAACAGAAAGGCCCCCACCCCAGTGGAGTTCACTTAAGCAGGTGGCTGCATTTCATGAACATGCTGGCCGGAGCATGAAAGGAACACCATTTCCCTCGGTCTGGTCAGAGAGCTGGAGGCCACTGCCAAATATATGAATGACAGAGGCAACACATTAAATATTTACTGTGTTCCAGAACCTGTTTTTAAGTGTTTGACATGTTACTGTTTTAATCCTCACAATAACCTTTGCGATCAATACTATTATTATCGCCCCTATTTTCAGATTAGGAAATTGAGACACAGAGAGGTTAAGTAACTTGACCAAAGTAACTCAGCTCATAGTAGCAGACTGGGATTCAAGCCCAGGCAGCTGGGCCCAGGGCTTGCAGACTTAACTTTGAGGTGGCACTTAGAACATTCATTGTAAGCTCCACACACACAAAAAAAAATACAAAACCCTAAAATGTATCAAAACTAGGATCGTAAGGGCAGCCTCTAGCAGCGATGGGGAATGGCATCCAGCCAGCCTCTGGTAGCTTTGCTTTGCCAAAATCNCCCACACACAAAAAAAAATACAAAAGCCTAAAATGTATCAAAACTAGGATCGTAAGGGCAGCCTCTAGCAGCAATGGGGAATGGCATCCAGCCAGCCTCTGGTAGCTTTGCTTTGCCAAAATCAAAGTAGGGGCTAGTTCTTGGCCCTCTACACATGCAGCGTCATCACTTACAAGGCAGAGAAAGCAGAAAGGGGACTAGACTCTGGACTCAGCTCTGACGCACAGACCATCTGGTGTGCGCTGTGGAAGCGATGAGACTGCTTCATCCTAAGTGGCGGGCCTGAGGCTGGCTGGGAGGGCTTGCTGTGAAAGTGCGTGCTCCCAGATCCGCCACCAGAGTCTGATTCCGCAGGTGATTCTGATTCAGGGGATGGAGGAGACCATTTGACAAACACTGGCCTAGACTCTAAGAAATCCAATTCCAAAGAGGTTCAGAGAAAAGGCAGGTATGAGTCTTTCATCTAATAGAGATGCTGTAAATGACAAGATACTGCCAAAGAATAATATTCTAAGTGTAAACTGAAGAGAGAAAAAAATTAGTGGGACTGAGTGCTAAGGAGGAGAGAAGGTTATTTGTAATTATACAAGACAACAGGTAGAAACCAGATTGAAAAAATGGCATCCAATAATTGATTACAGAATATGGTTAAGAGCTAGCACGGGAAGCTTTAAACTCAGGAGACTCCGAAAAGGAAGCACAGGAGAGCAGGGGAGGCCGGGGACGGCGCCGCCTCCCACGCCGCTCAGGGCTCCTGCCCTGCCCAGCCCGCTGCTGAGCCCCTGCTGGGTAGCAGGCATTGTGAGAGGCCTGAGGGTCTTGTGAAGTCAACATGCTCTCTTTGAATTCAATCCAATAAGAAGACTTTACAAATTATTTCACAACCCTGTATTTTCTGAATTTCAGGATTCAAATATCTTGTTTCAACGTGAGTCCCACTTCTATTGGTTTATATGCTGGTTTGTCCCAGGTGTGCTGTGGGTTGATGGAAAGAAACCACACACACAGAAAATATTCATACATATTACACACATACGCACTACACATACACACGTACCAAGATAAAAATGCTTGTTTTCTTTAACAAAGGCTAGGGAAAACTTTCAGGTAACAGGCGTGCGCAGTGAGAGCAGGCAGAGCATGTGTCTGAGCCGTTTCTCACCTCGCACCCACAGCCTGTTCCTGACAGGGCCACACAGCCACCGCAGCCCTGCAGAGGGAAGCTAGGGCCCTGCCACACACAGGAGTTAAATTTCATATTTTACCACAGCCCTTTCTCACGAGTCTTAGATCATTATTCATGAACTTACACAAATATTTCTACTTAGACTGTGGCTTTCACACTTGTTTGACTATAATTTGTGGTAAGATATTCCTCTTCCATAGACCCACTTGTTCATCCAATTCACTTAACACTTATTGTAATCATCCCAGGTGCCAGCCACTGTTGCAGATGCAGAAGATCCTGCAATGAACGAACAGTTTACATTCTGCTGGGGGAGGTAGACAATGAACAACTATAATATATTCGTGGTCCAGACCGTGATGAAGCAACAGAGGAAAAACAAAGCAGAGAAGGGGGATGGAACGCTGAGATGCTGGGGGAGGGGAGGATGGTAGTTTAAATTGGGCAGCCAGGAAAGGTGACACTGCGACTCAAACACAGCCCTGCAGGAGGAGGGATGGGGGTCATCTCAGGGAAGAAAAGGAAAAACCACCTGTAAAACCGATGTGCTAGAAGTAGCCACAGGCAAAGTGTGTGCTGGTCCCATTTTTGCCTCCTGTAGGCTTTAGACAAATCACTTTCCTCTCTGATCCTATTTCCTTCTTTGCAAAATGAAGGGGTGACACTTGATTCTCTCCAAGTTCCTTTCTGGCTCCAGCATTTCCAAACATCTGTGTTTTAAAAAGCCTCTGATGCCCTGGCCAGTGTGGCTCCATGGTAAGAGCGTCAGCCCACGCATTGAAGGGCCGTGGGTTCAATTCCCAGTCCTGGTCGAGGTGCGTGCAGGAGGCAAATAATTGATGTGTCTCTCTCTCTCTCAATGTTTTGCCCTCTCTCTTTCTCTCTACCCCTCCCTCCCTTCCACTCTCTCTAAAAATTCAATGGAAAAAATATCCTCAGGTGACTATTAAATCTGACGTTTTATTCTGGGCAGACGTGTGTGTGTGTGTACACTTATATGTATATAACATACAAAAATTATATAACAAAATTTCATAAACAGTACTACCCTAATTGCATGCAATACACTGATATTTTCCATTCTGTTCTAATTACTTCTATTTTATTTTTTTAAATACTGATTGCACCCAACTAAACTGATTTCATTATCCACTAATGGGTCTTAAAGAGCTGTTTATAGACACTGAAATCTTCTTGGAGCCAGGTACGGCATCACCAACACCACAGACTCATCCAAGAAAAAAGGTAGCGCACTCAGCACGGAGCCTTCTTCTGCCCTCAGCTTTTAGCAGCCCGGGAAGCCCCTGTGCCCACACGGGCCTGCACAACCCGAGGCAAGACCCGAGTGTCAGTCAGACAGCTCGGCCTCCAATCCCAGTTCCATCACTGCTTTCTTTGGCCTCAAGCAAGCATCACGACAACACTGAGTCTTCGGTTACTTATCAGGATCCTGGAAATGACAAAGATTAAATCATAAAATATATGTAGAATGGCTGGTTAAGTACCTGATACTTAATAAACACTTAGAATCGGTGGTGGTGGAGGTAGGAGTGGTGGAGGTGGAGGCAAACTGGAGCAAAAAGAACAGCCTCATTTTACCAGGACCTTAGAACCTAAGATGTTAGCGAAACACAGCTAGCCATCATGAATGCCGGTGATTATCTTAGTGATAAATGCCACAGGAGGAGGAGTGTGTGATTCCAAACCATTTCCTTAGAACCTAAACCCTCTCTCTTCCCTCTTCAGCAAACTGTACGGAAATGGATTTGAAGAAATACAAAGTCATGCGTTCAACGGGACGACGCTGATTTCCCTGTGAGTACGCTTATTTCCCCAGCTCATGAATAAAAATGAAATATTACTCTGGCTACCAGATCACATTCAATTTTCAGCAACTATCTCAGGACAAAAATAAACTTTCAAGTGGCTAGTCCTCAGTGTTTCATGCATGTTACTAGGCAACTGGCTGGCTGGAAACCCCAGAGCACCCTGATTTCAAAGATAGATGCAGCCGGGATACATCGAAGTTGACAGTTTGCTGAAATATTCAACAGCCTACTTTAGGCGCCTCGTCTCACAGCCTCCCTCTCTAGCCCGTGCTCGGGTGGAGGGTGTGTTAGAGGCACCATGATTTCAGCATAGAAATTCTTCCCACTGGCCCTGCTGCAGAGAAATTGAGTAACACCATTTACCAGCTAATCAGCCACAACAGACCCACTCAGCATCCCATCTCCCCGCTGCTGGGGAGAGGGGAGGCAGGGACAGGTTCTCATTCTCCAAGGGGTGAGGGGGCCTTGAATGTTCACCACACCCTACTTGAATCCCCAGCGTTAAGAGCTTTTAAATCCAGGGGAGCGTCCCAACCAACTGGTTCCTTCGTTGTTCTCAACCCCTTTCTTTGTGTGGCCAAAGCAAAAGCAAACAGGTGGAAGGAAAACCAGCAGAGTACGCCCTTGGGAGGTCATGGAAAATGGGACTTCAGGAAGGGGCCTTTGGTCGGCAGTGTCTCCGATGCTTCAGAGATGCCAAAATGGGTGGACTTCGAAAAGTTCAGCTAGTCAAGATTCTGTGTCCCTCACACCTCATTGTTGGGAGAAAGAGGAAACCAAGCACACAAATTTCATTTATTTATTCGCTCAGTAAACATTTATTAAGTATCACCAATATATTAGGCACCATGTAAGAGCTGAATCACAATGGTACAGTAACAGTCCCTGCCCTGAAGTTTCTGTTCTAGCATAAGGGACAAACAAACAGGAAATAAATTAATTTCTTGCAGGCAGTGATATATACTATGAAGAAAATAACCTGTTGCTGAGATCTGCGAGAGTACAGAGGGACAACCTACATTAGGCTAGGTGATAGCCTCACTGAGAATATATTTAGGTTGAGCCTAAAAGATGACAAGGAGTCCACCATGGCAATAACAAGAGAAAGTGTGTTACAGAAAGAAGCAGCACGTGCAAAGGTCCTGAGTTAGGAAAGAAAAGTTTATAAGCCTCAGGAATTGCGAGGAGGCTAGTATGGCTGGAGGGTCATTGTCAAGGGGAAGACTGGTGGGAGATAAACCTGGAGGTGGAGCAGGAGCGGCTCATGCAGAACTGAGGGGCCATGGAAAGGAGTCTGAATTCTCTTCTGAAAACAGGAAGACCCACTGAAGGATTTAAGCTCAGAAAGAAGTTTTCAAAACTGTCAAGCAAAACTTACAAACTCTACATTCAGCCCAGTGCCTGACACCTTCCTCATTCATAGGCCTGTCCAAAGTTGTGCAGAACAATGACACCAAAGCTCTGCAAAGTCCTCAGACACACTACTCGCTAAGGCAGGACAGGGTGGAGAGGAGCAGCACCGAAGGAGTCCGAGAGTCAGTGCCCATCGTTTCCAGAGCACCCTGGTTAGGAAAGCTTTGGGTGGAGCTTGGGGGTTCCCCACTCTGCCTGTGTTTCTCACACCCGGAGAACCAGGTCACCTGGGAGAGCTCCCAAAAGTGTCCCCCAGAAAAATGAGGTAGATGAATTTGATTTATTTTTGACCCAGTTACATAATGCAGTTATCAGTATACAGAAAGATTCGATTTTTAATAAAACATGCAAAATACTGTCATGAAATTTGAAGAATTAATTGGACCTGCTGACATGAGGGTTATCTGTTCACAGAGCTCAGTTTCAATGCCTTGTGACCGTAACTGAACGTAATTAAAACGAACCAAATCAGGAAGAAGAGCCATGGAGGCCTGAGAAGGAAAATTTCTTTTGATTTAGATTTTACACAGCAATTGACTCTGACAACCTCATCTTTTGAAAGTGGAAATACACCCAGGGGATGGGACAATGTGAGACTGACAGGTGCACTCTGAGGAAAGGGCTGAGGGGTGCCAAGGAGAATGCTTAGAAGCAGCGTGTGGAAAACAGCTACCCAGGGAGGGCGGTGCAGGGGCTCCCGCAATGTCAGTGGCAGGCATGATCTGGAGACATGCAGAAAGACGCTGGAGAAGGTGGCTCGCTGTGAGGCGCGCCAGGCAATTACGCAGGCACCTGAGTGAGGGCCGTGGGTGTTGGTCCCGCCGGGACACTGTAACAGGGGGCAGAAGAATCCCGTGCCCATGCTCGAAATCATCGGATCTGCTGCGCCCGCTGCCCAGGGATTCCACAGTGCTCTCGGAGCCACCACCCTTCTCTTATAGAAAGAAAAGTGCTGAAAAGAAGGCTGGCAAGTGTGAGCCCGGGGACTCCTCTCCCAGCCGCCTTGTCCACCCAGAGAAAGGCCTGTGCTGGGAGCATCCGGGCACAGACAGGAGGCTGCTCGGCAGGGCCAGCCCGGCTGTCCCTGAGCACCTCACTCTGAGCTGCCTGAGTCAGAGGGAACAGGCCTCGGGCAGCCACGGCCTTAGCAGCTCTGGGCTTCTGCCACCGGCCTAGGGGCAGTGGCCCTGAACCCTTCTGTTTCCGTAACGAGCACACCTGGTGATGGTCACAACACAGCATAGACCAGTGGGGCGCACCGGTAATGGGACAGTTTTCTACACAGCCTGCGCTTCCTCTTCTTTCTCAGCCGCTTAGAAATGCATATGGGGGGGAGTGCAATTAACATCATGAAAGGGGTAACACTGAACAAACCCTACTTTTTCTTTTTAAGTAATGTATTTGCAGACCTGGGCCGATCACCAGTAAATTCTGAGGCCTCCAAGGTCAGGACAGCTGAGGGCCTCGGTACAGGACAGGCTGCACTCGCACCCCTCAACCTTGAACACTGGGGCAGCGTTTTCATGCTCCCCCAGCTGCCTGGCAGTAATCTCCCACAACCCAGGGCAGGAGGGGCGAGGACCTCAAGTTGTAGGACAAAGGGCTCCGTCAAGAAGGGGCATCGCAGAGGAAAGGCGGGGCCAAACACACAGCTGCACAATTTCGCCAGGCACTAGCATGTCCTCTTCCCACTTTACCCCCTTGCACCCTCAAACCCTGAGCATATACACAGGCTGCTCCCGACATGAGTGCTCACAGCTATGACTGGTCACACGGGAGGTGCGGACTCCACTAAGGACACTGTCCTTCCCCACAGGGAGCTAAAGGAGAACGAACACCTGAAGAAGATGCACCATGGAGCCTTCCAGGGGGCCACGGGGCCCAGCATCTTGTGAGTACAGTGGTGCTGCCTCCCCTCCCCGCCCAGTGCACCCCAACAGGCCTGCTTAGGGTGTCCAGCCTGGTTTGTGGGGCATCAGCCTCTATGTGAAAGGGCTGCCATAAACAACATGCATGGCTTAAACAAGAGAAATGTAATGTCTCTCAGTTCTGGAGGCTGGAAATCCGAAATCAAGGCGTCAGCAGGCTGGTTCCTTCCGAGGGCCCGGAGGGAAGGACTTGTTCCAGGCCTGTCTTCTCACTGCCGACACTTCCTTCTTGCCGTGGCAATATAACCTCAATTTCTACGCAGCGCTCCGTGTGTCTGTCTCCAATTTCCCCTCTTTGTATAAGGATACCAGTCATATCGGATTAGGGCCCATCCTAATGAGCTCGTTTTAACTTACCTCTGTAAAGCCCCTATTTCCAAATAAGGTCACATTCTGAGGAACTGGGGGTTAGGACTTCAATGTATGAATCTGGGGAGACACTGTTCAAGCCATAACACTAAATATGGAGGGCGGCCCCCTGCGCCAGTAGAGGGGTGGCTGCCTACCTGGCATCCACTCATGGCGACCCCAGGCCAGAGGTCTGACTTGCCCTGTCACCTGGCTGAACACGGCTCACTTTCTGTGCATCAGGCTCTGTGAGGGTGCAAGGAGCGGAGCCACATTCCCTAAGTTACTGGAGTTTAGTGTAAGGACACGTGGGAACAGTAAGCGGAATGGGAAATTGAATCAGTTATCTCCTGACAAAGCCTTGGGAAGCCTGAAACACACTGCGGGGAACAACTGCAGCTGCGGTCAGCCTTCAGGGAGAAATGCAGCAGGGTCCAGACACTGCAGCTCTACCGCAGGGTGACCTCATCACCCCTCCAAAGAGGGCCAGTCCGTTGCTCCCCGCTGCAGCACACTGTCACTCATGCATCTAACAAGCATGGGCTGAACATGCCCTGTGTGCCTGGCACCATGCTGGAGAGACTGGTGAGCAAAACAGCTCTGGCCCTTGCCCTTAAAGAGATTACAGTCACATAGGGCAAATAACAATCAACAGGCAAAGCAATAAACAGAAATGAGGAAAGCGTAGAAAGATAGTGAGCTGAAGCATGGGGGCGGGGGGGCAGACAGAATCAAATAAGTAAATAAAATACATCGTGTGCCAGATGCTGTTGGATGTGGAGACGATTCAGTTGGTGGCGGGGGCGGGGGTTAGTTCTAAGGAAGGGGAGCTGCCGTTTTAAAGAGGATGGTCAGGAAAAAATATCCTTAAATTTTGTCATTGAAGCAAACACCTGAAAGAAGTAAGAGAGCAAGTTACGTGGATTTCAGCAGGAAGAGCATTCCAGGCAGAGGGAACAGCAAAAGCAAAGGCCCTGAGGCAGGAACTTGCCTTGTGTATTTAAAGAACAGACAGGAGGCTGGTGTGACAGAGTGAGCAAAGAGGATGGTCCTCAAACACAGGGACAAGAGAGGTGGCAGGGAGCCAGGTCACGGAGGGCCCAGTGAACGTTAGAGGGATTTGCCTATTCTCTGAGTGAGATGAAGAGGCTTTAGGGTTTTAAGCAGGGGAAGGGGTGAACTTACCCAGCTACTCTTTATGCCCTTGCTCCTGCCAGTATCATGATTCCACTTTCTACGCCCCCCTCCATTATAAACTCCAAACGCTACTGACTTAGCTCGGCCACTATCAACTCCTGACCATCTGCTCCCAGCTCCTCCTCACTGCCCGCCCTTGCCTCTGTCTACTTCCTACCCCTGCCACTACCAACCCGACTGAACTAGCACCCACCGCCCACCACCGTCAGCTTCCGACTTCATTTACATTCCAGCTCCTATCACCATCCATTCTGATTATTTTCTTCCTAACTTGGCCACTGTCAGTCTCTCTCTACTCTCCACTCGACCTCATACTTCTTCTTCCTTAGCTTCCACCATCTCGTGGCCCCTACTTTTTTCTCAGCTGCCTCTTAGCTTCTGCCATCCTGCCCCAGGGGTCTCTTTCTCTCTGTCTTGTATTTAAAGTACACCAGGCTCAGAATTGTACAGATTGGTTGAATGCTGCCTAGTGTAGCGCACCCTGTAGGCACAGCTCTTACAGCAAGCTAGCCACCTACCTGGCCACTGGACAGCTAACGGGGTCCGTCAGGCCCAGGGGGTGCTCTGGTCACAAGGCACCCTTGCATGACAGTCTGCTTGAAGAGCTGCTTGGTTGGCCTGCTTAGAAAGAACTGTGAGTACCGCAGGCATCTGGTCCCCTCTGGAAAAGTGGGACCAGGCCTACATCTCTTACTTCCCAAACAGCTATCCTCATTACACCCTGTGGATTTAAGTGGTGTCTATAAGAATTCCTTCCACCAACACCCCCAAAATACATCCCACACCCGTCTGTCACTGAGACTGAAAATCTATTATCAGAGATTCACTCCTTTGTTCTGAGATCTTGCCATTTCTAGAATCCTGATTTTAAATATGTCCCCCCAACACACACACCACCACCGCCACCGCCGCCACCAGGCCTGCAGAGAGTCATGTGCTCATCCCTAACACATCTGAGGTAGCAACTCCATAAAACAGAATGAGAACACTAGTCACCTAAACCAGCAAGGACACAAAAGCAGCAAAAGCCCCTGAGCCAGGTTTCCTGCCTCGATTGTTCCACAAAGGTCCTACACTAGTCATCATTCCCTGTGTCAAGTTCACCTGTCTATCCATCACCTATTAATCCCCTCCCATGTACTAGGCACAAGGTATTGGGGCAGGCTGCTGGGTGGGCTGGCGGGGGTGGGGTGGGGCAGTGCTGCTGGAAGAGCTTCATGGAGAATCAGCAGCAGTGACTTAGAAGATGGGCAGAATTTTTAAATTTCCACTGACTGCTCTCCCTCCTCACATTTAACCTGTTTCGAGTTTTCTTGGACATTGCCTCAAGCCTAGAAAAACCAAGGCATTCAGGACCTTGTTTACAAACCTAAGCTTTCCGCAGTTTTGCACGTGTGGCCGAGTTTGCTCGCTGGGGACCGATGGATGCAGTTTGCCTTTAGAACATGCATTCTGCTTCCCAGGTAGATGGTGCCTAACGCCACACAGCAGCTCTCGAGAGCGTAACCAGCCTGTGCTTCATGAAAACCTACCCTGCAGGGCTTGGTCAATCAGAGACCAAGGCACCTGAAGCCCTGAATATTTCCCCTGGGGTAGAGCACAAAAGCTGATGTCACTGCATGTGCCTGCTGTCTCATAAAGCAGGCAGTTACTTCACTTCTCCTAAGTGGGGAGAGGGGGAGGGAGAGGGAGGGAGAGGGGGAAATGCTAACGCATGTATGGCGGGTGCACGGAGTTATACTCAGCCTTGGAAGAATACTGGGATGCATACAGGGAAAACACAGTATAGCTTTTTTGGATTTAGGTCTTAATGAGAGTAACTGAAATGGAACATTAGGGGAAAGGTAAAATGGAGAAAAGATTCCCCAGAGCCTAGAATGATGCTTATTGTTCAGAGGAGGTTTCAGTCTAAGAATCAAATGTATAAAGTAAATAAATAAAAAGCCTTTCTCCCTTTTCTTTTTCAGGGATATTTCTTCCACCAAACTGCAGGCCCTGCCTGGCTATGGGCTGGAGTCCGTTCAGACGCTAATTGCCACCTCATCCTACTCCCTGAAAAAGTTGCCAGCAAGAGAAAAATTTACCAATCTCCTGGATGCCGTATGGACTTACCCCAGCCACTGCTGTGCTTTTAGAAACTTGCCAACAAGAGAGTAAGTAAAAAACAATAGGTAAAGCCTGCCCAGCTGTGGCAGCAACTCAGACATGGAAACAGTCAGCTGGTGGCAGCCCCCTGCCCTTTCACTCCCTGCCTTCTGGACCATTTTCCGACAGACAAGAAAATGAACCATCCTGGTTCCTCCTGAACACTGTCCGAATAGTCCGTTCACCCTGCAGCTAGAAGCCCTCTGCCCCTATTCTGAGCTAACTGAATGATAGCCTTAAGTTATTAGGCTCTAATAGCAGCTGCAAAATGGATACAAAACTGGCCTTTGGAAGATCAATTAGCTCTAATCCTTATCAGAGAGAGTGATTCCTAAAGAGGCGAGGGACGCAGCCTCAGGAGGGTACATTTTACCTAATATCTTCATCTTTAATAAAATATGGACAGAATCCCGACAGAAGGTGTTTTTTAAGCTATTTCTCTCACAGAGGAAGACCATCTTCTGCTTCAGAACAGAATCCTAGCTCCCTAAGGATCAGCCTGGGGACAAAGAGGGCACAGGCTCCTGGCCGGTGTGTGTCCAGCGAGCAGCATCCTGTGGATTCAACTGGCTCACTTCAGTCCAGGACGGAGTGGCAGGGTGTGCAGGATTTCACTCTTTCCTTAAAGCATTGTTTTCCAGACTTTTTTTTTTTACTGAGATACATAGTAAGAAATACCTTTCCTACACTGCAACCCACTGCACGTCACATATGTAACTGAAATAAAACAAAGCAATACTTAATTTTTTACATGATACATGCTCTGATGTTTTCTTGTGTATTTTAGTCTGTTTTGTTTCGTGGTTGGTTGTGTGTTTGGAGTGCTCTGGGAGCACAGAGGAAGAGTGTCTGACTGATAGCAGGGCTCTTGCTTGGCTTCTTGAGGAAGGACTTCCACTGAGTCTTGAAGAACAGATAGGCGCTGGCCAGACAGGTGTGGGGGAAAGCATGCCCAAAGGACTAAATAGTTCCTGTGAAGGCACAAAGGCAAGAGACAGTGGGATGGAAGTCATCCAGAAAAACTGGACAGGAAGCCTCTGGGTACATGGAGGAAGGTGTGTGAGGAGAGGGATTGCGACAGAGGTGGGCCACAACGGGCTCTGAGTGCCAGGCCAAGATGTTTAGAGGCTGGGGAACCACTGAAGAATTTAAAGCAAAATTACTCAGATTTCCTTTTGTAAAATATCACTCTGGCAGCAGGATGGAGGATGAGTTGGAAGTGAGCAAAGCTGGTGAAAGACCAGAAGAATAGAAGAGATAGTGGTTGATGCTAAGGCTGATCCTGGACACCACTTTTGTGGCAAAGAGGGTTGCATCCCTCCCTTCTGAAATTACTGACATGCAAAATCTTTAGTTCAGAGCCTTTTGATTCCGGTAGATGAAAGAGACTACCTCTAGGTATAAAGAACAGGCGTGGATTATACACTTGTGGGCCAGTATCAAAGTGTAATGGGAGTGTGGTCACACAGGGGTTGTCCTGATTGGGATTAACTGACTCCTTCTATGTCCCTAAAGCTGGAAACCTTGGATGCTAGTGAGGGTGCAGAGCCTGAGGCAGGGCCAGCGGGTGTTTGTGCAATCTCTGAGTCACCCTCTGCCCTGCAGCTGCTAAGTCTGGATAATGCTCACAGCTGCCTGGGCAGAGGGTCCCAAAGACTTCCTTGGTATCTATGATTAAAATTTCAAAAAAGATAGAGTAGACAGAACACAGTGCTATTATCTGAAGGACAAGAACAGCCACATTTCATGTTAACTGTAGATTGGTTCACACAGAATCTCTTAGTGTCAGATTAGAGCCAGCGTGCGTGCGTGTGTGTGTGTGTGTGTGTGTGTGTGTGTGTCTCCCTCTCCCTCTCCCTCTCCCTCTCCCTCTCCTACAACACACACACATGCAATTTGATACAATTTTCAGGATGTACAATCCTTACCCCAAATAACAAGCTGATTAATTTTTTAAAGCAAGTCCAGTGGGTCAAATAGTTCTGATATATTCTCCACTTTTCTGCTTTTATAGAAAGTCATTCCTAAAGGAATTGTCTTCTTAATATTGGAGATAATAGTGCATAGAAACGGCCAGTTCGATCGCCTCATTTCTCCCTCCTTAGGAAGGCTGAGGTTCTCCCAGCCTGCTCCCCTTTCTTCTATTTCTTCACCAACTTTCTCTTTGTTTCTCCCTTCGGTTTCATTTTAGGGAGATAAGTACAGGCCTTCTTTTCATTCTCTGCCATCCCCCTCCCCTTTCCATGGGCTAAACTGCTTAAAGGGAAAGATGAAGGAAAAAGGAGCACCCACATATACTCCTACACATAACTGGGGGAAAAAACAGAAAACTCACATAACGATGTCAGAACCAGTATCTTCGAATCCTTACAAAAGAGATTCCCAGTTACCATTCAGAGCCGTGAACTCTGAAGGATTGTGTGTTCAAGGCCAATGCAGTGAGGAGAGTGGTGAGGAGCCATCCTTAATATACCATAAAGATAGCCTTTAATGAGCATTGAAAGATCCGAGATCCAATATGATGAATTTAAGTTTTTTCCTCTCTAGAGCCCACACAAAGCACTTAGCATTCAGAAGCATTTTATCAAAGCTGGAGGCACTCTAATGACCATTCAGAAGCCTTTACTCTGTCCCCAGGAAGCGTTTCAGTTAGGACAATGGTACAGACCATGAAGTCGGTGTAATCGGTAAAGAATTTGGATGAACAAAGCATAAATAGACATGATCAGATTTAAAGATCAAAAGCTCAACTGTTGGTTTTTTCCCCTCACCTCTTCTCTTTCAGGCAGAGTTTTTCATTTTCCATTTTTGAAAACTTTTCCAAACAATGTGAAAGCACAGCAAGGAAACCAAATAATGAAACACTGTAAGTATTTGCATGCAAAGGAACTCGGGAAGCCCTGTCTCACTCTGTGTGCCCCTTATTATTATTATCAGTGCCAGCAATTTTCTTTTGATAAAAGTCCTGGTTGGGGGGATGTTTGCAAAGCATTTTTAATAGCTTAAAAATGAGAACTTTTCTTTGCAAGTGGAATCCAGTTGATCAGATATCTCATTCAACTGGTTAAAAAAACAACAACTAAATAAGTATCTACATGTTCATTCTACAATTATATTAAATTCTCCTCAGAAATTCAAATTTTATTTGCAAGTATTTTAATGTCATTAAGGGCTTGTTTAAATGATAGCTTCATTTGTAGGAATTTTCACTAGTCATACGGTCAGCATCCCACAAAGATTAACTGATGGTGGATGCGGCTTCTAGAAGTAGCCACTTCCTTCCAAGAGACAGGCCACCTGACCACTCTGCTCTGGAGCTTAAAATTATAATGCTATCACTAACATTCACTGGGCGGGAGCTATGTTTTCATCGTACTGACTTATTTTTTTAACATTTTCCTGGCTGCCCTGCATTTCGCATACCTTCAAATGTAAGAAAGCATGCCTCCGAAGATAACCCCAGTGTCCCCATGCCACATTCATGCGAGTGAGAAGTTTTATCATTGCCCCCAAGTGTCTTCAGGCTACAAAGCCAGATCCCTTCCAAGACCTTGCCAGTTCCCCTTCCCTCATCTGCATCTTTCCTCTTTTCTCTTCTCCCGCCATCAATCTACACGTGGCCCGAGGCAGTGGGTGGTACGAAGGAAGGACCCGGGGCTCCGCTGGACGTGGCCCCTTGGCAGTGATGTTCCTGTAACGCTGGCTATTCCTGGACAAGGCTTACGTTTTGGGAGCCTTTTTCCCCTCATCTGTAGGGACAGCAAAAATACCGTTTGCCTTTCAGAACTATGAGTGTGAAGGGAGTTGAAGACTGTGACAGCACTGGGGGCACATTGTCAATATTATGCTCTGCATCCTTCTGTTTCTTTTCATGGGTTCTGTCACCACCTGGCCTCCAGTGTTTCTTTCCCTCACCCTTCCCACTCTTCCCCCTGGTGTTCTCCCCATCAGTCACCTTCCACATTGCCCTTCTGCAATTGTATGGCTTTTCTCTCACCAACAGGAAGCCACTCTGGGTGCAGCCAACGGCCGCACCTGGGGTGCGCGGGGAGGGGAGGCTGTAGCTCCCTCTCAGTAATCCTCACCGGCCCCACCGCGAGCCTTCCCAAAGGAGCACACACTCTCGCGTCTGCTAACACTGCTTTAAAACAAGTCCCCTAATCTCCAACATCCCCAAACTACCTGAAATTAATATATCATTTAAGTTTAAAATGCATGCTTCCTGCAAAAACATTTTTATGATAAATCTCCTTTCTCCCTTCCCATCAGATTGCTATTCCTGAGTCCCTAGAGTTTAGAAATTCTAGAGCCAGCCACTAAGGCTTACCTGCTCTCCCCAAGACATCGCGGTGCCCTTACTGCTGTGGGGGCCCCGCTGCTCTGCAACTCCCGCCCTTCCTCCTCTCTTCATGCACTGCGACTGCAGCAGTGGGGCCACTGCCTCTCCCTCCTGGCTCAACACTGCTAAGCCTCTGCGAGTCCATTCCCATCCCCTGCACAAGCCTTCAGTACTGAACACGGCTCCGTGCTGGGTTTTGTCAATAAACACGCTGTGCCCTCAGGAGCCATCGCAGGACACAAATGTAAGTAGCAGCAGATGGGTATTTGGTCTGAAGACAAATTACCAAAGAGAAAATTGCTAGACACATGCCCAGGAGCATGCAAGAAAAGATAAGGCAAAGGACCAGGGGAGTGGGTGGGAGAGGGAATATGCTTGACCTCTTATTGATACTACATTTATTCAGAAATCTTGGCAGAATTTTTAGAAGCTTGAATTAGTGCTTCTAGAAGCTGAACTAGTTTTGCTAAGGGGAAAGGAGTAAGGGAAATTAAGGCCGAAGAGTTGGAAATTTTTCACTAGATTTAACAAAGGCTATTATTTTGCAGGACTCATCCAGGGAGCTTGCTTGAAATGCAGATTCCTGGGCTCTGTTCCTAGGAGGTTTGATTCAGGATTTGAAGTAAAGCCAGGAATCTATATTTCACAAACACCCTGGTGATTCTGACGCAAGTGGTTCAAGGACCACACTTTGAAAAATGCTGAATGGGAGGTGGTGAAGTAGAGGAAAGGCCCCGGACTGTGGGTGTGAAGACCTAGCGCTGCCACCAGTGCGTAGGGCTGAGGGATGTTAGGCGAGCCACCCACCTGCTTTAATCGTGGCTACCTCATCAATAAAATGAGGGTTCAATGAGATGGTCTTAAGGACCTTTCTAATGCTAAGAAATAACCTATTTTCTTTCATTATTCTTTATAACCACCCTCTTTAAAGATTAAAAAATGGGTAATTATATTGATGTGCATGAAAGGGAACAAAAAAATGTGCTTATATTTAATAATAAAACAGGTGAGGTTCCTTTGCAGCCTTCTGTGCATGGCAGCAGTCCTTCGCCAGTTCCAAATTGGTTTCTATGAATTCAAGCGCCTTTTTAAAGTCCCACGTCATCGATTTATTTTTCTTCTTTTTTTAATCTGTGTTCTTTCCCTTCGGTAATTGTACTGTTCAAATATATCATTTCATCCACTCACTGAATTAGGTACACACTTCCTTATATAAAACATGAGAAGCTAAGTTTTGAAAGCAGGAAAAAAATACTCTTTTAATGTGTGAGGAACCTTCAGGTGAAATACATAATGGTAATGGCCCTGACAGAAAAAAATTTGGCCAAATTCTCTAGCTCCCAAGATTATACAGCAGACTGTGGGCAAAGAGAAAATCTGTTGAGCCTACATGCATCACACTGTATACAGTGATTGTCCTTGCATCCTCTCCATCCCTCTCAGAGCCAGGATCACTCTGGTTTATTCATTGCACACACATTTATTGAATGGATACTCTGAGCCAAAACTGTGTGAGGCACTGAGATTTCAGAAATAAATAAAACCTAGTCCCCTGCCATCAATCAGCTAATAAACTGTTAAAGACACGCCTCATCACATAATGACAATATGGTTTGATAATTACAGTAGTACCTAAGCACAGCCATGGCAGGCAGAAGGGGTAATAAACTCCTTGGGGGTGTAGAATCAAGACACAGAATCATAGAGGAGCTCATCTCCAAGGAGGAGGAATTCAGCAGAGGGGTGAGAGGAAGGGAAGCAGAAGAAACAGCACACGCGTACAAAGACAGGAGATGAAACAGAACTTATTCTGAGAGCCACAAGTCACTTCACGTGACCAAAAGGATGACTGCACAGGGGATTTGCAAGATAATTATAAGAATCCCTAACATTCACTGTGTGTCAATATTCTAAATATTCTACGTGTTGATGCACTTAATCCTTATCGTGACCCTACCAAGGAAGATACGATTATTATCCCTATCTGGCAAATGAAGAATTTGAGGCACAGAGGTGTTAAATAACTCTCCTGGTTTACACAGCTTGCAAAGACTGAAACCCAGGCAGTCTTGCTTCAGAGAAGCCCATGTTCTGAATTGTGCAGCACTGCTGCTTCTTAGAGAAGGCAGAACCCAGATCAAAGAGGGACCTGGAGGTCTCACGAGGAGTCTGGGTTTTATCCCATAGCCAATGGGAACCTAGGGAAACTGAAATAACAGATTTGTGCTTAAGAAAGGCCATTCCAAGAGGAATGTACAGGTGGTCTGGGTGATGGCTAAAATTGGAGGAAGGATACCTGGAAGAAAACAAATGTAATTTCCCTTAAAAGAAGACGAAAACCTAAACTAAAACAGTAGCAATGGTGTTGGGAGGGAGTGGCAGAGGTGGGACTGTTTCTTCACTAGGGACAGAGTTCCTCTTCAATCCACTTTCTGAATTTAATGTATACCCCTAAGGAGTACCTATTTTCACAGTTTCTTCCTATTGTCCATGACTATATTCTTCCTCTGCTTCTAGGGTTCTAACAACCCATCCTTGGTTTCTATTTCTCTCTGGGCTATTTGGTTAGCAGGGACTAGCATGCAAGCAAGTCCACCACTAGCTGACTATGTTCAACAACGTGAGCCTTCCAATTCCATTTGTGTTCTACCACAAACAGCTTCAGAGCAGTTTGGGTGGCAGCTAAATGAGATAAATAGTTAAGGAAATGCCAAGAAAGAGTTCTTTTCAATTTAGCAAGCATAGATTGTATCTCTAAATTTGTTTTCCAAAGAAAATCTTCCTCTGTAAACAGCTTCATTAAGTCTTTGCATCAATGTATAAAATCTATATATAAAAGAAGCCTAAATTTTTTTATTCCCTTAAGGAACTCCTACATCAATTCAGAAGTCTCAGATAATTTAACAAATAAATGTAAGATTGAGACTGTTGTGGCTTTGTTTCCCTTTCTTAGTCTTTAAAAAAACCACTAAGGATGATTGTTGAATTTTTTAAAATAATCAGAATCATAGAAAATCCCTTAAGTTTATATTGAGCTTAAATATTCTTCTTACAGTTATTCTGCCATCTTTGCTGAGAGTGAACTGAGTGGCTGGGATTATGACTATGGTTTCTGCTCACCCAAGACAGTCCGATGTGCTCCTGAACCAGATGCTTTTAATCCCTGTGAAGATATCATGGGCTATGACTTCCTTAGGGTCCTGATTTGGCTGATCAATATCCTAGCCATCGTGGGAAACATGACTGTCCTCTTTGTTCTCCTGACCAGTCGTTATAAACTGACAGTGCCCCGTTTTCTCATGTGCAATCTCTCCTTTGCAGACTTTTGCATGGGGCTCTATCTGCTGCTCATTGCCTCCGTCGATTTCCAAACCAAAGGCCAGTATTATAACCATGCCATAGACTGGCAGACGGGAAGTGGGTGTAGCGCTGCCGGCTTTTTCACTGTATTTGCAAGTGAACTTTCTGTCTACACCCTCACAGTCATCACACTAGAAAGATGGCACACCATCACCTATGCTGTTCAGCTGGACCAAAAGCTACGATTAAGGCACGCCATTCCGATTATGCTTGGAGGATGGCTCTTTTCTACGCTAATTGCCATGTTGCCCCTTGTGGGTGTCAGCAGTTACATGAAGGTCAGCATTTGCCTCCCCATGGATGTGGAAACCACTGTCTCACAAGTCTACATATTAACCATTCTGATACTCAATGTGGTGGCCTTCATCATCATTTGTGCTTGCTACATTAAAATTTATTTTGCAGTTCAAAATCCAGAGCTGAAGGCTACCAACAAAGACACAAGGATTGCTAAGAAAATGGCAGTCCTCATCTTCACCGACTTCACCTGCATGGCACCTATCTCTTTTTTTGCCATCTCAGCTGCCTTCAAAGTGCCCCTTATCACAGTAACCAACTCAAAAGTTTTACTGGTGTTTTTTTATCCGGTCAATTCTTGTGCCAATCCATTTCTGTACGCGATTTTCACAAAGGCATTCCAAAGGGATTTCTTTCTGTTGCTGAGCAAATTTGGCTGCTGTAAACGTCGGGCTGAACTTTTTAGAAGGAAAGATTTTTCAGCTTATACATCCAACTGCAAAAATGGCTTCACTGGCCCAAATAAGCCTTCCCAGGCCACTCTGAAGCTGACCACGTTGCACTGTCAATATACAGTTGACAAAACTTGCTGTAAAGAGTGAACTGTTCCATCAGTAACCACATTACTGAACTATACTTAAATATGTAAAAAATTATCTGTACCGGTAATTTTAAGAATTGCTTTTAGGAAGTTATTTATCCTGAGGCACATTAAGCAAAGGGAGAGCTATACCTAGCTCAAAGGATGGTCCACAGCCATTGCCAGTCTAAAAACTATCTGTCATTGGTACATGATGACATACAACACAGAAGTTGAGAGTACTTAGAAACTTTTCAGCAATTTTGACAGTAATTTTATGTCTGTTGAATGTACTACTTAAAAAATGAGGTGGCATTTTACGTCTGATTTTCTTCTCATTTCATCTTTGTGGTAATTTTCATTGCATTTTACAAAAATAGTCCAAAACAGATTTGAAATTTAAAATAACTCACCCTTTTCCTCAGATAGTTTGAGAAACACTCTAGAGATGCACTGTCCAATCCAGCAGCCACTAGCCACATGGAGCTAAATTCAAATTAGATGAAAACTGCAGTTCCTCAGTTGCATTGGCCACATTTCAAATGCTCAGCAGCCACAGGTGCCCAGTGGTTACCATACTGGACAACACAGACACAGAATACTTTCATCACCACAGAAAGTTCTTTTCAATGGTGCTTTATAGAGGCTTTTATTCATCCCCTGTCTAGGTTCTGTTATTTAAATTTTAAGGTAAACACCTAAAGGCACTTTTCAGCCTATTTTCTTGGTTCAGTGCTTAGTCTCTGAAGACCAATGAAACATTAAATAGTAGAATGTCAATTCCTTATGGGTAGGACCCCGATCTCAGTGTTGCTGTCCTGTCTCTTAGCTCAGGATCTTGGCAATAGTATGCAATAAATATGCTAAATTACACTGAAGTTATGAAATCTATAAGGAAAAAAAAATTGTTTTCTTTCAAGGGCCCTTTTTATTTAAATATTTAAAAATATTTAACTTTATGCCTTGCCCAAGTGGCTCAGTTGGTTGGAACATCATCCCGTACACCAAAAGGCTGCAGGTTTGATTCTCAGTCGGGGCACATACCTGGGTTGCAGGTTCCATTCCTGACTGGGACACATATGGAAGGCACCCAATCAATGTTCTCTCTTGCATCGATGTTTTCCTCTCTCTCCTTCCTTTTCCCTCGCTCTAAAAATCAGTAAGTATATCTTTGGATGAGGATTAAAAATAAAATTATAAAATAAAATATTAAAAATAATAATAAAATAATAAAAATAAAAAGTTAACTTTCATCCTTTCTATCCTTTGAAGGGTGGTATAGAAATATATCTCCAATATTTGCTAGAAAACATTTTAACTAATCAGAATTGATTCTTATAGGACAATGAAATTATGGTTTTAATTGCAGTGTTCTATGTATGCTTCTTCGATTTCTAAAATAAATGTTACTGAAAGCTTATTATATGTCAAACATAGGTATTTTATATATGTTAACGCACTTAATCTTCATAAGCTATGATGAAGATACTATTATTCACATCTTACAGTAGAGGAAACCCTATTACAATTTCCCCAAGTTCTCAAAACTAATAAAAGATTTAACTAATAAGATTCAAACTCAAAGTTCTGATTCAGGGCACCAGCTTCTTAACCACTGTTTTACTGCCTTCCATATGAGCAAATAGTCATCCAAAGGCTTCATGTGTTCCAAGTTCCTTAAATTTTCCCCAAGCTTTACTGTGAACATTTTCAAACATACAGAAAAGTTGAAAGAATTGTATAGTGCACACCCATATATGAGAGTCAGCATTTTAGTATATTGGTTTCATTACAAACTACATAATTACCTATCCAGTATTTATCCACCCATCACTTCTGATGCATTTTAAAGCAAGCTGCAGATACTGGTGCTTGTTATCCCTAAACACTTCAGCATGCTTATCATTAACTAACATTCAATATTTGTTTACATTTTTAAGTAAAATTTACATATGGTCAAACGGACAAATCCTAACCATGCCACTTAATGAGTTTTGAGAAATGCACCCACCCATGTGACCCAACACCTCTATAAAGATATAGAACACTATCACCCTCAGAAAGTTCCCTCATGCCCCTTCCTAGTTATTCCCTCACTCCCAGCCCCCCGAGGTAACAATAATTCTGATTTCCCCATAGATTCTTGTTGCCTGCTGTAGAACTCCACATAAATGGGCTCATGCAGCACATACTGCTTTGTGTAAGGCTTCCTTGACTCAACAATGCTTTTTCTATTCATCCACGCTGCTGCTTGAATCAGTAGTAGTTCATTCCTTTTCATTGCTGAGTAGAATTCCATTATATGAATATAACCCTGCTTTCCATTCTCCTATTACTGGATATCTGGGTATTTCTAGTTTTTACCTGTTCTTTGATATTTTATTAAATAAATGTATAGTCATAACTAGACCTTCTTCCTTCCCTGTCCTCCTTCTGCACCCTTTAGACACCCCACTACAAGTTTATCTTCTTTATAGAGCTCTCCTTAATGCCTCCCCCCAATCTAGTACAGTCAAGACACCGCCTTCACCTAAAATAAAGTAGGGCGTAAATAGTATGTAACCCACAATGGTTTTTCTCTTTAGACTTCTTTACCATCCATTTGTCTTTATCCTATATTGCTGGGTGTTACCATCTTTACATATACTGTGTATCTTATTTCACCTGTTAAGAGATTTCTTTAATGATACACTCATCTATTTCTTTGTTTCTCCTACCATATATACCCTAGAGCCTTACACATGGTAGATGGTTATTTTTTTTTATATGATTCACTTTTATAACTGAAATATAAAACAATCATAATGGAAGCCTTTCCCTTATTAGATGGTCTCATAGAAAGTGTGTGTATTCTTAAGCTATATAAGCTCTCATACATAAATCATAAAAACATCAAATGCTCAAAAAATTCACATTTCTATCTTGTGTTGTTTTTTAGGTTTTTTTGTTTGTTTGTTTAAAGTATTACTGATGTCCCTTTTTCTCCCCAATGACCCGTTCCCCCCCGCCGACGTTCCTTCCCTCTCCCCAGTCACTCTCCCCACCATTGTCCGTGACCTTGGGTTGTGCATATATGCATATTCTATCTTGAATTTTTTTCCACAATGTTTGATACTATCACTGGTTGGCTGCAAAATGACTAAAAATGATTAATCAACCTGGAATAACTCATCTTAACTTACTATTTTCAAAAGCTATTTTGGCCTCCATTCATAACATTTGGTTTTAGTTTCCTCAAAAATGTATTGAGTCCATGTGTAAATTAAGAATCTTTATGTCACAAAGATTTCAATAAATGTGTTCATAATTGGAAATAATTTTTGAAATGTGCAATATTTTTATTAATATTGAATTTCTTCCTCAGAGTTATTGCCATGGGCTTACTATTTGTAATTTAGGTTTCTAGTTATAAATCACAAAGTTCCCACCTGGCTTAGAATGTACTTACATGAAAAACAGCATAATATTAACCTACTAATGTGAGTCAAAAAAAAATCCCCCACTAAATTCCTCTGCTCACCACTCCAATTAGCTGTTGCTATTCACTCTAAGGTTATTAGTTTTCCTACACAACTTAACTAACTGAAACTGAGGGCCTCAACCAGAACTGGAGTCTCATTGACCTATGAAGTCTGAGCTATACCTATGATTATTTATACATATTATAGCACACTGAATAAAATAGGTAAAGAAGGTATTCCAGGCAAGGCCAGTTGGTCAGTCCCTAAGACACTAACTATGCAAACTCAGCATGATCCTCTAAACCAACAGGGAGAGGTGGAAAGTATGTAAGAAAACACTGTAGGATGTGAGCATGAGAAAAAGTTTGAATTGGGAACTATGATACATGATACTTTCACAAATTTCATTTAACACAGTAAACTGTACCCTCTATAATTATAACCTCTGCCTATAAAAAGGTATAGGATGATATTTGCCAAGGTATTATATTTATAAGAACTTAGAACCTACTTTTGACATTTTGTTATAACATGCAACAAGAAATCTTTAGCTTGGACATGTTGAAGAGGTTCCTAAAAGTAAAAGTAGTATCATAGCAAAGCCAAGTCTTAGATAAACTCCACCAGCTCACAGGGGCTAAAAAATAATTTTCTCTTTTGTAGTAAGATTTGTCTCACTCTATCTTTAGCACATGCATTAAAAGTACTTTTTAACTATGAATAATGACCCATCACTAGGTAGTGAAATCAATGTACAGGGTCAATACCATCATTTTTAAGTGCAATAGAACAATATCAAGTAGAAAAAATATATGAGGTTATTATGTGCTAAAGACAAGCATGATTTTCTAAAATTTGTTTCATTTGCTATGTGTATCTATGTACATGCAAACATGTACTTTTTAGAGTATATAAAAATTGTGAAAATTCACTCATTTAGACAATTTCTCAAGAACCAGAATTTTTTCTAGCATCATTTGAAACTAATAAAAGGGCATGAGGTCCAAAATAATTGAGCAATCTCTTAACTCCCTCTGCAATCATCACCAAAATTATCATTTATATTAGCATGCAAGGATAATTACTGAACTTTATTTTGTTGTAAGCTGACTTTTAAATTGATTTTTTTGTTTTTGTAAAAGATCAGTGGCATGAAGGCATGCAGAAACTCAAATGAGACAACTGTGACTTTTTTCTGATGATTAAACATACCACATAAATAAAGATGGCCTATGTAATAGTATTTGTAATGTGCCACCTAAAAAAATCACTGAATCAAAGTAGTTTTAAAATTCACAGTGGAAAAAGGGAATGATAGAAACAACTATTATTGCCTCTCCCAAACACTTAAACACATTAAACCCAATTCCCAAGTGAATTCACCCTGTCAATAAATTTAGCCCTTATAATTTGCAATGTTTGCCTACAGCACGTACAGAATGACTGGATCAGTCTGGGAGGAAGAAAGCAGGAAGAAGACTAGAAAGTGTACTCCTCAGCCCTGGAGGGGGTACATTTCAAGGATAGACACAAAGAACAAGTGCCCTCATTCTGTGTTCCATGTAGAAAAGATGGCCATTTCGTGGCAGGCAACATCCATGATGAGAACCCACAGCACCTGGAAATTCTCAATAGGCAGAGGAAAACCTGGAACAGCAGTGGTGGTAGGGAAATAGTCACACTGAGGATGAAGAGGCCACAGCTGGAGAATCTGGTTAGGACACCAGCCCACTTACTAATACAAACTGAATCCTTGTGCAGCTGCCAACCTTAGACCAAAGACAGTACCCAAAGTATGTTGTGAGAGGCCCAGAAGAGACTTATCCAGATTTTGAAATGATCTACCAGTAGTGGCTGAGTCCCTTGGGAAAAACAAGACAAGTGTTGGAATAAATTAAACTCTCTAATTGGGGTTGCCTCCGAGAAAGAAATGGGGAATTCGCCCTGTGACCTGTATCCAAACCTTAGGGACCTTTCACAGATTGTAACACACTCATCCCAGCACTGCTTTCTGTGTGAGTACTGTCCTGGAGAACACCGTTCAGAGCTCAAACTAGGGATCCTAAATTTAGAGAACATGTATACTACCCCTTAAGAGAAGCAGAATGAGGAGGAAAACGTTCTTTGATGGATTTGAATCTACTAAGGAAGAGAGTATGACAGAATAATTTTGGGGATAATTTACCTTGTTTTTATTGGTGCAGGAAAATGAGAGCTATTTGTGTTTTACATTTTGTTTTCTCTCCCTGATTTTAAGGCAGTTATCCAGGTCTTCTTGTCACAAATAAGATTAGGCAACCTCATCTGGCCAAAGCAAAGGTTCCTGAAGACAGTATCTCTTCCTGACTTATTTTAGAAAGCCTAAACTCAATGAGGGGATTCCTGTTAGGGAAAAGGAAGAGAGGTGGTATCTTGGAGAGAGAAAGAGTTTGGAAAGGGGTCTTCCACT